CATCTGCAAACATAATACTTCTTAGTTTTGATGCTCTGTAAATATCATTTGTATAAACTAAAAATAAAAGAGGTCCTAAGATCGAGCCTTGTGGAGCACCACATGTTATTTCAATCATTTCATTACCATTTTAATAGGTTATTTTTTATGCCATAGTGCTGGAGTTTTTCAAGCAAAATATTATGATTGACTGTATCAAATGCCTTAGAAAGGTCGATAAAAACACCTATTGTAAATTGATTTTTATCAAATGAACTGGAGATTTTTCGGAAAAATTGAATAATTGCGTGTTCCGTTGAAGTATTTTTTCAAAACCAAATTGATTATTGTATAATATTTTGTTGTAATCGAGATATTTATAAGTTCTGTTATAAACTATTCTTTCTAAGATTTTTGAGAAAGTTGGAAGGATGGATATGGGACGGTAATTACTAACATTTATTTTATTACCATTTTTATATATTGGAATAACTTTAGAAACTTTAAACTGGTCCGGAAAAACTCCTTGATCTAAGGATTGATTTATTTTTCTTAAGAGACTTATATGCTCTCTCAAACTCCTTAAAATATAGATCAGATAATAATTCATCACTATTATATAAGTTATTAAACGATTTTAGAAAATAGTTAAATAAAATTTTTGTGGCTAAGATCTGTTCCGAAAGAGGGGATCCAATTTCCGTGAAGTACTTGTTAAATTTGTTTGCTATTTGTTTTGGTTCGTTTAAGCTTTTATTTTCAACTGTAATCGTTTTTGGCAGAGTGCTTGAGCAGGTCTTAAATTTGCCGGGTAAGTACATTTCATGTACTTACTGCTCAGTCTAGTTCCAATTTTCCCTCCCCCCACCTTCCCCACGCTCTATATTGACTCCACTACTGGTTGGCATACTTTTTTAAAAAGAATCTTCAAATAATTTTTGTGACCCGTTAAATTTTGAATGGTCAGTTGGGGTCCTTAAAAATATTTTTTTTTAAAGAATTTTTATACCATCTTATTCATGACAAAAAAGAGTACCTTTTACACAATATTTTTGTAATCATTTATTTTTGTGATGATGATGTACAAACTATTTTGATAGATCTTACATAAGATATACAAGATATGATAACAATTCTTCTGTATTTAGGAGCAATTGAAGGTGACTTTGGACATATTTGTAACTAACTATAAATCATATAAATAACTATACATAGCTTACTCTATATCAACAAAATTCAATATTACCAATGCAAGTTAAAAGTCATTAAAAATGTATTTTCGTTACACTTTTTATTTTGTTCAACAAAGGTTCCATTTAAGTAAAACTAATTTCGAGAAATTTTTAGTAAAAAATAAATCACGTTTTTGATATTATAAAAGAGTGGTAATGACAATATTTAAGTTTTTCATAAAATATGTGGGGCAACCTACTAATGTGAAATTAACTGATATTTTAGGCTGTTTTTAATAAAAGTTTCAAAAAATGCTTAGCGTATTTTGAGTTTACAATTTTTACAGTGGACTGAAATGTACTGTGCCATTAAAAATTTATTATTTGAGAATAAATATTTTGAATAAAAAATAAATATAAATAAGATCTATGATTTTGATCTATGGTTTTGACTCAAATATATAATACTAATAAACAAATATATTTTCTATAACTTTATCTTATTATATTTTAAAGAAAATAATATATAATTATAGTCGTAAGATTTGCAATTTTAAGTATTCTTCGAAATTATACTAGTATACATTTTTTTAAGTCAAAAGCTAAATAAAGAAACTAAAATAAAAGCGAGTAACGAGTGTAAATATAAGGCTAAATAATTGGCAATTGTTGATATAAAGTTTACACGCAAACTTTATATCAATAATTACCAATTATTGGATCTACTATACAATTATTGATCCATATTCATAAATCAATCTTAAGTTTAGATCGTAAAAACAATCAACTTTAGTGATATTTTTACATACCTTAAACCAATGTAACTGCGCCAGTTATGCTTAGTCACATTTGCATTGCACTTTTAAATAAGTGTAATGCAAATGTGACTAAGCATAGTCACATTTGCACAATACTAATATATAAAAGTATAATATTACACAATACTAATATATAAAAGTATAATATTACACAATACTAATATATAAAAGTATAATATTACACAATACTTAACACTATTAGTATTGTGTAATATTAAACTTTTATATATTTGTATTGTGTAATATTATACTTTTATATATTAGTATTGTGTAATATTACACTTTTATATATTAGTATTTTTTAATATTATACTTTTATATATTAGTATTGTGTAATATTATACTTTTATATATTAGTATTGTGTAATATTACACTTTCATATATTAGTATTTTTTAATATTACACTTTTATATATTAGTATTGTGTAATATTACACTTTTGTATATTAGTTTCTAATGGAAGTCAGCAAGTCTAAACAATGATTCATGATACCATTCAGCACATTAAGTCAACAGATAGCGTTCTCCAGGAAAATCTTGCAGAAGACCAAGAACTAACACACAAAAACTAACAGCACTATACATTATTTGATTGTGAATGGTATACAAACTTCATGCTCAAAAATTCTTACTTAACTGTCTTTTAGCGTGAATATTAGCACCTGTGCAGTTCAAAGGCGCTTTGCTGAGAGTTTTTAATTTTTGAGAATTTTTAATATTCGAGAGTTGAAAATGCGGTAATGTGTCACGTTCTTAGACAAAAATCAAGTTAAGAAGGCTGGCTTTGTATGCTAAGTCAATGTTTGCTAGTTACCAAACTCATGCTTCAATCATCAACACGATGCACCTACTGTTAAACAATGTCCATCAAATATGGTTTGGGGTCCAATTAATGTTGTGCAATCTCAAGATTATGCAAGGTTTTTACAAAAAGATGAGATTGTTAATTCCATAAATTACTTGAAAGTTTTAAAGAACAATGTGTCTGATTGATTTCGAATTTGAAAGTTTGATATTTTGACACAAGATATTTTTTTATAGTGTTGTTATTTTTCATTGTGTTGTTGTTTTTTAAAGTGTTGTTATTAACCCTGACTAAATTAACTAAAAAATTGACTAAATTGTCGAATAGTCGAAAAGTTTTCAACCTTAATTTTTGTTTGTTTATTTAATAACAATAATATGTACTATTATAATGATTACCTAGTTTTTTTAGTACTCTTTTAAAATTTATCTAAAGGTTATTCATAGCATGTTAGCATTGTTTATACCTAATTAAACTTTCGAGTATGTATTTAATTAATTTTTTTCTCTTTTGTTTATTCAATGCTTCTGATTTTCATAAATACTTTCATTCAGGGACGCTTTAAGCTGGCTCGGGGCTCTGGTAAAGGGGGGAGGCCAATGTATACACACTAGATCTTTAAAAATGGCAAAATATTATACAGTTAATGTCGTGGAAGCCATTTCTAATTCAGGAAAAAGCAGCTTCACTTTTCAAATCGAAGTTAGGCATCTAATGCATATAATATATCATTCTAGCAAGTATTTAAAGCTGTACCTAAATCATTGGGGTCTGGAATTGGGTTGTCCTGTTATCGGAGTGGTCCTTCTCTCATATTGTTTAGCTCCATTTTTATTTAAACAATATGATATTAAAAAATAGAAAACGAATATGAATTACTTAATTATTTTTATCAAAATTTATTTCAAAAAAATAAATTATTCATATACTTCGACTAAATTGACTTTTAGTTAACTTCATATTATTCTAAACGTTTCATATTATTTTGCTAATCAACAAATCTATTTGGAAATAACCAAAATTTTTTAAAGCCAACTAAACTATTTAAGAAGTGATTCATAATACTAAATTCCCACTCATTTTACCCCAATGGTAAACATCCAAATAAAAGGGTATTTTTTTATGCTATCATTATTTCGTAAATTCAGACACGTCATCCTAACAACATCACCATGCTTTTTTAAAAAAATAACAAATTTATACTATTCCAGTTATAATTTTTTGCAACTCTTTATGGTTTTTCTTAATTTCTTTTTTGGACTTAAAATATAGTTAATGTTTTAAAATTAATTTATGATGTGGCTGAACCTTATTTATTTAACACCTTAAATAAGCTAAATTACAGATCTATATCTTTCTTACTTTGATTTAGGAAATTGCTTGAAAGAATAATGTATAATGTTCCTTTTAATCATTTATCTGAAAACGATCAATGCAAAACAATTTGGTACCAGACTGAACTTTATGACAAGAATGCGTTAGAAAACTTAATATGGCAATATCACATTGACCACCTACATTATTTACTTTTAGACTTGAAGTCTTAGTTTTGTACCCATCTAAAATTAGTCAAACAGACTTTCGCGTCACGGTAAAGAAGGAGGCGTGAACTTCCTGGCTAAATACACTTCCACGGTAGGGTAAACTGGGGTAAAGTGAACTAGGGGTAAAGTGAACTATTTTTTTAAACTAAAAAGTTATCATGTTTAAAAAACTTTTTGTTAAGTAATTTAGCATTATTTTTGCTTAATACAACATTTTGAAATTTTTTAAATAAAAAAATTAATAAAATATAGCCTTTGTTTTGATGTAATAGCCATTTTAAAAAGCGAGTTTGGCGGAAGTTTTAAAATTACGTTCTCAAACTTTGCTATGGGTTTTAGTAAATTCATGATTTGTTGTTATTAATGCGAACATCAGTTATATAATTTATATACATTTTAAAGATAATATAATGCTGTTAAAAAAAAATTGTAGTTTTTATCATAATATAAAAAAGCTAAGCTTTTAGTTTGTAAATCAATTTAGTTCACTTTACCCCTTATTTTTCTGCCTATTGGGGGTAAAGTGAACTAGTCTTTTTCTTATGTTTTTTCATCAAATATTTTTAGTAGAACTGAATATATAAATTGTAATTACTTAACTAAATTGTTTACTCTTAAAATAAGTTGTTTTTTTTTTTAAATATTCTTAAAATTATTTTCAGAAATATAATATATTGAAATAATGCCAAGAAACTACATTAAGAAAAAAGAATCTCGAAGAAAAACATATGCACCTAATTTGTTGCAAAATGCCATTTCGAAAGTTAAAAATAAAGAAATGACTTCGTATGCTGCATCAAAAGAATATGGTGTTCCAAGAAGTACAATTGCAAGACATCTTCTAGGCATAAAATGCTCAAAAGTTGGTGAAGGGCGACCAAACCGATTATCTGCTGATGCTGAAAAAGATCTTGTTTCACTTTTATCTGCATTTTCTGATTTTGGATTTGGATTAGATAAAAAACAATTTATGAAACTTGTTCAAACGTATATTGAATTAAACGGATTTCAGAAAAAATTTGTTAATGGTGTTGCTGGTGATCAGTGGTTTTGTAATTTTTTAAATCGTTGGCAGAAAGAAATATCTATAAGAACTCCAGAGCTTTTGACATTAACAAGAGCCTTAGCTTGTAATAAAACTGTAATTGATGCTTGGTTTTTATTACTTAAAGCAACATTGGAAAAATGTGACATTATGAATAGACCTGCCCAAATACTAAACTGCGATGAAAGTGGGTTTTGCACTAACCCAATAAATAAAAAAATTATTTGCAAAAGAGGTATTAAAAACCCTGTATCTATTGCTCCTGGATCAGGAAAAGAACAGTTTACTGTACTAGCAACAATATCAGCTGCAGGAAGAAATTTTCCTCCATTTATTTTATTTGCTGGGAAGAATTTGTATAAAGAGTGGATGACTGGTGGACCAAATGGTTCCTTATATGGGGTGACAAAAAACGGTTGGATGGAAACAGAAGTTTTCACTGAATACTTTAACCATCTTGTTTTATGGTTGAAAGACACACCCAAGCCTGTTTTGCTTATCTTTGATGGTCACATTAGTCATATTTCTTTAGAAACTGTTAAAAAAGCAGTTGAAAATCATATAACTATTTTGTGTTTGCCAGCACACTGTTCGCATTTGCTTCAGCCACTTGATGTAGGAGTCTTTCGCCAAGTTAAACATGTATGGCGTGAAATTCTGGCCAATTGGTATACCGAGTCAAGGCTGAAGGTGGTTGGGAAATCTGTTTTTCCATCTTTATTAAAAAAACTTTATGATACCTCCTTTAAGCCAGCTCATTTAGTACAATCCTTTGCCAAAACTGGAATTTTTCCCTTTGATCCATCTGCTATAGCATCTGACAAGTTAAATCCTTCTGAAATCTATGAACACCCTTTTTCTCAGAAAACAAATAACTATAATAATAACGTCCCTCAAAACATCGTTTTAGACACCAATGTCAATGATCAGAACGATACTTGTGAAAATTTTTCTATTGAATCAACAAATAAATACAATTCACAAAAAACTATAATATCAGTAGGAAAAGACTTAAACAATGAAAAAATAAATCAACTATCAATATCAAATGTAGATTGTTCTACTGGAAATAAAATCATTAGAGAAATAGTGAAAGAACAGTTAATGGCCACAAAGGGTGATGGTCGTTCATACAACAAACGACCTACAAAAAAAATAAAAAGACACTATGGAGGTGAGTGTCTTACATCAGAAGATGCATTTAAAAGATTAAATGATGAAGAAAACGAATGCTTTAAAAGAAAGATCAAGCAGCAAGGCAAAATACAAAATAAAAAAACTAATTTATTAGAAATAACAAACACAAAAGAGTTAAAGATGAAGTAGTTCACTTTACCCCAATGTGGGGGTAAAGTGAACTAGTGGACATGTTTTTTTTGAATATATATTTAATATTGTAAAAGTAGCTTTTAATCTTAGTATTTTGTTTTATATTGTACCTAATACTTTAAATGGTATAAATTTTGAAAACTGCAAAATGTTTTGGCTTTTATTTTGAAAATATTTCCTTTAAATATCAAAAACAGTTCACTTTACCCCAGTTTACCCTACTCTTTGATAAGACCGTTAGGTCTTCTTGGGGCACCTAAATAACAAAACAAAAACAAACAAAAAAAAAATGCTGTAAATTATAATATATATGTTAGGAATTAAGGGGATGCATTTTAGTTTGTTGTTTAAACGATGAAATGCTTTTTAGGTCTTTAATATTTTTATTTTGGAAAATGATTCCATATTGATAGACAATGGTTTGTAATTAGAAAACTTGACTGCTGTGATTTAATTTTCCCCAGGTGATAGTTGTACTGGTATTTGTACGCAGATTACATTTTTCAGAAAATAATGTCAAGAAATTTTCTGAAAAAACGGTAGAAGATTATTTTTATCCTTATACATAAAAATTAACATCTGTAATGTGTTAAGTTTCTCAATATCTAGAACCAAGAAGTCCTTACGGTCTTATAACAGAGCACCGCGGAAGACCATTTAAATAGATGTTCACGTTTCTAACCGATATTATAAAACTTGCTCAGAGGTGGCGTTAAATCACGGACTACGAGCTTCTGAAGAAAGCGCGCTAACCACTGCGTAATGTAAAAAAAAACACTTTGTGTTTAGACTCCAAAGTTTACTATTTTGTTTTACATTTCAGAAGTCTTAAATGTAAAGTCTTAGCATTTTTCTTAAAACATCCCAATCATCAGAATGCTTTTTATTTAGTTTTAATAGGATTAGAATTTCAATTACGGACTTTCACAGAGTGCGGTTTAAGTGTATGACATTTTCATATGGAATAAATGAACAAAATGGCAAATTTGTTCAGGTTATTTTTAAGGCGTTTTTAATGAATATAGATTTCTTTAAATTGATTTAGTTAGTCGATTATTTGATATTTTTTAACGAAATTATGTTATTTTGTTTAATATATATGTATATATATTTTTTTAATATTTGAGATGTCGTTATTTTGTTGATATATTATTTAATTATAACATATATTATAACAAGTATTATTTATTATCCATAATATATTTATATTTATATTATTTATTATACATATTATTTATTATTTATAAAATGTTTATAATATATTTATATATAAGTATTATATTATTTAGTTATAACATATATTATAACAAGTAAAAATTATAAACTTTTTAAGCTTGTGGTGGGAGAGAATTTCCGAAATTTAATAAACTTGCTCTCCCGTGTATTAAAGACTTAAGAGAGAGCTCCGAACAAAAAAAGTTTGATTTTTTAATGTTTTAAAATTTTAAGAGACGGTCTTGATTTTTTATGTACATGTGCAAAGGCAGAATGGGCCTTAACAAAAACTGCTTTGTATAAAACAAAGATTAGGATGGGGTGGCAAAAATAGTGGTTTTGGGCGTACTCACTTTATAGACGTTCTCTACTATAATATAGCATACTTATAGTATATATTATAATTGTAAATTATTACTTTTTTGTTGGATAGAGAGGCGGAGTTTCTCGAATTCCACACTGTGTGTGACCAAGGACGTATTAATAGATGGACGTTTAACGTATTGTTTAAAAGCCAAGATATCCGCGTCATTCATTGTTACAAATAACAATAGCAATACAATAGATAACAGATGTTAACTATTTTTAACCTGAGAATATTTTTACTTGATTTTGCGTCAAAATAACGATAGTCTCCCCTAGCCTAAGAAATATTTAAACATTCCATAACACCTTAAACTCTAAAAGGTTTTTAATTAAATAAAACCTTTTCATTATATGATCTATAAACTCAAGCGAAATTTTTACATGGAAAAAAAAAGTTAATCCCTGAAAAATATCAAAACTAAGTGTAGGGAATAGAGACCACAAGTAATCTATAGCTTGATCTATATATGATCTAGAGTTTTATCTACAACATCTAGAAAATTCACTTTGCTGTATTCATTCTTGCAAACGAAATATCACTTTTTTACAAAAATATAATTTTTGACGTCTAAGTTTCATTAGAAATAAGTTCTTATTAAAAAGCGCGCACGTATCAAATTTGACATAATAAAACAGATAAGCTATTTCTGATTAACTATGTATTAATTAAAAAAAAAAGTTAGAGTTTTGTAGGTAATTGCACTTTTTAAAAAAAGTAGTAAGAAAAGCGAAATTATCGGAAAAACGTCGGTTTACTTTTATAAATTATTCAGAAAAATGACGCTAAAAATTATACCTCGCATAGGTTTTTGTTTACTCGCGGCGCACAGTGACTCAAGACAATCAAAAACCGGCAAAAATTTAATAAAAATTGACATAAATCGTAAATAAATAATGTTATATATTAAAGAAATAATTTTTAAGTCAAAGATTTCAAATTTGTTAATAATTTTTTTTTTAACGCGCAGTTTCGACGCGTAAAATGCGCGCTAACCCTTGTTAAAGGTGACTATACGCGTACAAAAAACTTTTTTTAGATTTTAGAATCTTCAAGACAAACGCATAATTTTGATATATTACTCTACTTGATATTTTTATAAAAATGGTTTTTAAAGGCTGTTGATACATAGAGAAAAAATACTGTATTTTTTTACATTAAATTTATTATTTACATTACAATTAATTTAAAAACTTCTGGTAACGGTTTTCCTCGATAGCTCTTATGTTTTCTAAAAGATAAGCTTGATACTTTTGGATCTGATTTTACTAGAAGGTCGTGCATCTGATTCATCATTGTGTTTAACCTTGATATTTTTGATGTGTGCTTAAGTATAGAATTTGTTTTCTGTTTATTTAAACTCTCTAGTGCATCTTCCGAATATACCCCGATTGGCAAAGGTAATTTATTTGATATAGAATAACTATACAGTAGCAGTTTGCCTAACTTCGATTTGAAAAGTGAAGCTGCTTTTTCCTGAATTAGAAATGGCTTCCACGACATTAACTGTATAATATTTTGCCATTTTTAAAGATCTAGTGTGTATACATTGGCCTCCCCCCTTTACCAGAGCCCCGAGCCAGTGTAAAGTAGGAGGCATAACATACCAGTTGTATAAACTCACTATACGTTTAGCTGTTTTAGTGCAGTATAAATCTAATTTATTGATATTAATAGGATATCCACAAGATATGGTTATGAGACTATTATGCAATCTTTTAATTATATCACAATCAACTTTAGTAATTTCAGAAAAAACTTCAGTATTTTTAAATGCTTTTCTGGCAGTGTTGCCGTCATTCGTATTTCCAGACCCAGTTTTAGGCATATCAACGTATAGGCTTAACCGTTCTCTGAAGAGTACCCGAATCTCTCTTTTTTTTGAGTCTACAGAGAGTTTTTCCTCAATTGTTTTTAGCTTATACTTTTTAATTTCAATTTTATAACTCAAATAAAGAATGAACTCCAAGCATTTTATCCAGCAATGCAAAGCTGAAATTCCGAGCCCTAAGGCCAAGTCATTCTCAGTTTTTGTTTTTAATAAATCAATATTGTTCATTTCCTTGGGTTTAGCATTGCACACATTGCAGGATTGAGTGGATTTTGCCTCTGTAAGTGCGCTAACTACTTTATTATCAAACATTGTAAGATCAATCCTATAGCTGATATTAAACGTCAAAATTCTTCCTGCAATATTAAAAACTTTGCAAAACTTCTTTAAGGTATTCATTTGATTTTTTAGATCTGATTCTTCTTCTCTGGATAAAATTGGACTCTCTTTTTTATATTGTAGATGAAGAGGTCTACAATAGTGACAGCTTGAAGAATTTTCATTTTTCCAAATTTCGCCATCTTCTTCTTTGAGCAATAAAAACACAAAAGCTGTACTGAAAAGATTTTTTTCATGTTTAAGTTCTATACTTGCGTTGCTTGTATCGTATTTCTGTGTTATAAATACTTTGGCTTGATGCTCCATCAAAACCAATCTTTCCATATAAAACTCCAAATATTTCGTCACTTTGACCAAAATTAGGCATATCAATCATTTCTGTTATTCTACTCACAGTGTGATCTAACATGCTTTGAAGAGTACACTTTGCAGAAATTTCAGAAAAATGTATATTCTCAGGATAGCATTTCAATTTTTCCACAAAAATATCATGCAAGGTAGAATAAATATGTACATTGTGTACAAGAGCTGAGTTTCTGATCATTTGATATTGTTTATTGCTGAGATCAGTATTCATTTTTAATGCAAGAGTATCCTCTACACTCATGTTAATGGGAAAGGTTTTATCCAAAGTTTCATCAACTTTTTCTATCTCTAAAATATTAGATATATTGTTTTTTAAAACAGAGGCTTTTTTTTTTCTCCAGCAGCATTTGCACTTTTTGCAGAAGCTAAAAATAGAGCTTCATGATGTTCAGTGGCTAGTTCTTTTATTTTTTTTTCTTTTGCTTCTCTCTCCAAGAACACTCTATTGTTTATGGGGTCTTCCAGAACCAAAATGGCTATTTTTATTGTTCATAAGATTTCTTTGAAGCCAACGATTTTCTTTTTGTATAAATGTATCATAGTTTTGTCCAGATTGTTTTAGTTTTTTGTTCACTTTTGAAATAAATATAACTAAAGCAAGCTTAACTTTATTTAAGTTTTCTTTGCGAATCTTTTCAGTATTTTTTATTTCATTAAGTAAATCCTTCCATAATTTTAATTAATCAACTCCTAATTCACGTATATTTGCGATAAGATCTAATCTTTTCGTTGTTATCGTTTTTAAGAACCATCAATATAATAAAACTAATATATTAGACACCTTTTAAATTACATTACATATATTTTCACTTTACACTGTTTCAAGTTTTATCTTGTTATGACTTTTAACAATTTTAACATTGTTACAGGGTTTCTCACCTCATTTCGACAATGTTTCACTACATTTCGACACTTTTGCATTCAATTTCGAGATTGTATCACTACATTTCGACACTTTTGCATTCAATTTCGACACTGTTGCATCACATTTCGACAATTTAAAAAAACACCCTATTTTGAATTAAAGTATTTATATTTATGATGAAAATTTTTGTTAAATAATAATGGGTTGAATTTAGTCGGGACAATAAAATAATTAATGTGGCTATTTTTTTAATTCTGCATTATTTAAAGTGGGTACTGACATCATGAATATGGTTTCAATATTTTTTTTGGATATACGTAAAATATATAGGTAAAATAAACAATGTGGATATTAATTATTTCAAGTTACCATAATAGTTGTTTTTAATTGGTATATTCATTATTTTTATTGACCGGATAAATTGTCTAATTGCCAAAAAAAAATATCTACGCTTTGGAAAATATCCCAACAATACATAATTAAATTGTCATCAAAAAATAAATTTATGTTATAATTTTTTATTAAGTAAATAAAAGCACTTGACTCTTCAATACAACAAGAGTTCATAATAAAAGCTTAAATATCATTTTCAATATTTATAAACAGTAATGCCGAATCAAACAATCAACAATGAAAACCGTTCAAGGATAATTGAATCTTACTTAAATGGAAACTCACCATCAGAAATTGCAAATATTCTTGGATTTAAACAAACTACAATCTATTTGATTATTACTGATTATTATTTGATTAATACAGAAAGCTTTTTAGATTTTATTCGTTTAGTATTAGCACAATTAGCTCTTAATGAAGTTGTTGGGGCTATCTTAATTTTAGACAATGTTCGTTTTCATAAAACTGCTGTCGTTCATAATGAAATAGTACGTGCTGGGCATTCTTTGATATTTTTACCTCCATATTCACCCTTTTAAAACCCTATTGAAAATATGTTTTCTGAATGGAAACAGTTTATCAGAAGATGTTTGTCTAGGACTGAGGAGGTACTGCTTGAAAATATACAAAATAGTGCATTGAATATTACTAGCACAAACTGTAATAATTATTTTGCGCACGTACTGAGGTATATGATTGTTGTGTTCAAGAAGAGAACCATTTATTGAAGAATAAACTTACTTTTGTAATTTTTATTTTTATTCGCGAGTATTTGCAATTACAATACTTCATATACGATAATTTTGTTTAGATTTTAGTTTGCATCCAAACTAAAAAAATATATTATCTAAATGAATTTAGAAAGAATCTAACTGCTTTGTTTGTATTTTAATTTAAGTATTATTAACGCTGTCGAAATTGAATGCAAAACAGTCGAAATCAAATGCAAAATTGAATGAAACATTGTCGAAATGTACAGATACAATGTCGAAATTGAATGATGCGTTGTCGAAATGAAGTGGGAAACTCTGTACATCTTGTAATAACACATATTACTTAGTTAATTTTATATTACATGTAATATAAATTTACATCCTGTAATAACACATATTACTTAGTTAACTTTATATTGCATGTAATATAAAGTTAACTAAGTAATATGTTTTATTACAGGATGTAACAATTTGGTATTTCTTGAAACGGGAAATACCAGTTGTTCAATTAAGCTTTTTCAAACATGTTGTACTTATCGAATAATAAATCGTTCTTTAAAATTGTCAATAAATATTTTAACAAACTTTTAAATAGTATATAATGACAAAAGCACGTTTTTTAAAACTATATTTGATATTTATGATGTAAAAACTATATTAGAACAAGTTCTACAAGCAAGAAACTTAACTTTAAGTTTCCCGCCAATTTCATTTGTTTTGATATAATAAAGTTCTTAGAAAAATGGCGGAAAACGAGGTTTTTATAAAATCATCAACATTTGTTTTTCTTTAATAACTTCCAATACCGCAGGAGACCGCAGTAATCCTTTTACATTCCTTAAGTAAAAATGTTAATTAACTGGAAAAAATATATATTTTTGGTACATTTTTTTAGCTGATATATAAACAAAAAAAAATACAATTGTTTTCTACTTTTTTTTAGAGAAGTTTTTAAATTTAAACGAAAAAATCAGACTTTTTTTCTTCTTTTTAGTATATTATAATAATATAGTCAAAATATTATTTTAAAAATAAAAATACACTTTTATTTAAATTTCAAGTTCTCTAATTTAGTTGAATAAAAGCCTCACATTTTTCAGATTTCTTTAAAAAATAATATCAAATTTTTTCACTTCTTTTACCTATAAAATACAAAATAAAAGCTATATGAAAAAATTACTTTTACTTTTGAAATAAAAAGTCATCGTCTTTTAATATTATCTAACAAAGGGCACTTGATTTATAAAAAAGTGGTGAGGGGTTTATTGCCATTTTGTTGTTGTTTTGAGTCACTGTGCGGCGCCTTAGATCTATAACAATGGGTTAAACGTCCATTTATTAATACGTCCTTGGTGTGATACAACATTCTAAAACAGGCAGACTAGATAGCAGTTGAATTAATGCATTTCCAACAAAAATTATGTTGCCTATTTAACAAACATAAAATATATTTATAAATAAATTGCATATATTAAATATGAAATTAAATATTTATTATACATTTAATTAAATTATAAATGGATTTATTTTTTCAAGAGTACTTGTACTCTTGAAAAAATTTAAATCGTTTTTTTTTTTTTAAACAAAGTTTTTAAAATTAAAAAAAAAATTTCTTAAGCGAAACAATCAAAATAAATTTATACTATTTTATACCTATTATGCAAAATTGGATATCCACTATGCAAAAAACTTTTAAAACCGGCAATTTTTTTCCCCCTATTATAGCGTTTGTGCACTGTATAAAAAATATTTTAACAAATTCTAATAACAATTCTAGAGCCCCTTTAAAGTCCTTGTACATTTAACAAGTTTCTAATAATATTTAAAAAGCTTTTCAGAAGTTTTGTTGGGTCTCAAATACCCAAAAATATTCATTTTATATATATAAAAAAAAACCTTGAAAAGAAAATAAGAAC